CAGGGGGGGGGGGGGGGGGTCAAAGGAATGCAAAAAAGAATAAATAAATAAGATAAAATGCACTGTTAAACAATCGTCGTCAAAATACGTCATATGACATCGCTCACGGGCAGAGCTTCTGGGTACGGATGCTCTCGAGACATACCTAAACATTACCCTCTTCGCATTTATGCCGATTAGCAACAATTTTGGAGATCCACAGAGCCCTCTTGGCCCTAGCCTTTTTTTTATTAGCGGGCGAACAGGATAAAAAAATATACATGTACTTTTATGTACGGGATCGAGCACTCGTTCGGACACAGGTTTTTTTTCACCCCCCTCCAGCTCACCCAGCAGTAATGGGTACCTGACTTCGAGTTGAGGAAGTAAAGGCGGCGTGGAAAGGAACTGGCCACCCTACCACAATATGCCGAAGGCCCAGGAAGTTGTCTCACTAACAAGGCAATCCCCAATGTCCGGATCGGAAGCGGGAACAACTTTACTTTTTTTTTTACTTCTATGACCCCTGGCGCCGGAACCTCTCCTGTCGTATTCGTGATTCTAGATCTCAGTTCTGGTTATAACTTTTAATATTTGGTCCCTATTTTGAGAATGGAAAGTGGGAAACGACCCAAACTGGCAGATTTAAGAGAGAGAGAGAGAGAGAGAGAGAGAGAGAGAGAGAGAGAGAGAGAGAGAGAGAGAGAGAGAGAGAGAGAGAGAGATAGATAGAGAGAGAGAGAGAGAGAGAGAGAGAGAGCGAGAGAGAGAGAGCGAGAGAGAGAGAGAGAGAGAGAAAGAAAGAGAGAGAGGGGAGGGGGGGGGGGGAGGCCCAGAACCATTCCTGAACGCTCATAGCATTATATTGATTATGTTGAAGATTTTTAATCCTTACCAACAGCCTAAGCCGAGACTGTCTCTGACTTTTTAAATATGATTATGGTGCACGCTCGAGGATATAAAATGGTTAAAGGTTTTCAAACAATATTATGCAAGTTACTGTCAGTGTCAGTGTTCTGGAACAATGTGCCTTGCTTTGCTGTGCAATGGCAAAACTCGGATAGTCACAGAGCATGAGCAGGGTCACTAAATAATTATTATTGTTCCAGCCTCTTTTATTTCCCAAAAGTAAACTGTTCTGAGCGGTGGGTTGTAGGCTACAGCTTGGCGTATGGGTGGAGGGGGGGGGGGGGGGGGCGTGGGTCTTATAGGGTGTGACAGTCAGTTTTTGCGGAGGGATAGTGAGTTCATTGACTTCTAGTAACACAATGTTGAAAGATTTGTTCATATCTAGGGAGGTTTATGGACTTACAGAAATCACAAAAAATGTCCACATGCTTTTAGAAGTTGATAAATGTGTTCATATGCAAAGGCATTATCGTTTCACATGTACCGAACTTATTTGCAAGAGATTGATGACCACTCAGGACACACAAAAGCAAAAACCACGGGGACTTCATTTAGCAGCTTTAAAAAAAATAATGTAATATGGCTAGTCTTTACTGACTTAACAGGACAATGCCTTTCTTAGTCAGTCAAAAATAGCTCTGCATTCCATTTTAAAATTATTTGTCGGGATTCCTTTGCTTATCATTTTGTGCGATAATTGACGAGCACCACATGGACGTGCCATGTGGGTGCAAGTCTGAAAACCAGATACACAAACACGCTAGTTCGTCTATAAGTCAAAAACAAAATGACAAAAAAGACAAAACAAATCCCAAACGACCCCACGAGAGTCCTGCTTCACTGATTGAAAATATATTTCTTGTGACCCCCCCACGATAACACCGTTGGGTATAGATCTATCTCATGCTGTTCCTGGAATTTTATCAAAACCACCAACGTGTTCCATATCTTTGAACGGCGCTTTAGGCAAGCTTGTGACACGCGATTCGTTGTGACAAGGATCTGAATGTTGATATAGTGTCAGGTATAGATACTAATCTGATTGTATGCTCCCTGTGTGTGC